AAAACTTATAAAACGACCTTATGGCTTGTGTCCTAATCTGCAACAGAAACTGAATCAAAATTCTATTATGCAGTTGAAATTTTGATATGGGCTAAAAGTGAACATCGGAAAACTGTTTCTAATAACTGTTTTCGACATGATAATTGGTTATTAGAAACAAAAAAAGTCACGAGACTATTTTTTGTGGTTAATTTTTATCTCGATAGAAGCAGAAATTGATGACAGTCAAAATTCGAAAGCTATTATCAAAAAAATCCCATATGATGCGATTTTCTCTGGCCACACTTTAAACAGCCAGGAAATTTCCCATTTATTTCAGGTCACCCGGTATTGAATATTTTTTCTTTTTACGCACCATTTCTCACAGAGCTTGCATTACGGAGGTGCTTGATACATAACGGAAGAATCTCAGGTACCTGCGCATTTATTTTTTGGCTTATTATTTGCAGACCAGAATTCAATTTTCCGTTCCGTTAAATAATCATTTCAGTGGACTTTTCTTATTTCATTCAAGCGGTCAGCACATCTGGTCTATTAGCTGGATTTATTACGTATTTGTAACTGTACCAAAAATATTCCTTGGACGAATGAATTTGTTATTACAGTGACTACGAAAATCGATGAAAAAAAAACTAGAGGTCCATATTAAAAAAAACGAAGTTGATGATGAGATCTAATGAATGAAACGTCGCATTGCAAATTGGTTTAAATCAGATTATGAAACAGTATTAAGAGTTACTCTGTCTTTTGTCAGAGCATTCGACATTGTCGATATCTCTGTCCTGGGTCTGCAACTGAAAACACATGCACTATGCAGTGTGCATTGGACTTTAACCGATCTTGTAGGTCTTATCGTTTCTGAGACAGTAATTCTGGGATCCGCTAAAAAAACGGCCTATATACAGTGTCATCCCCAAAGTATGCACCATATGGGAAACTTATTTATTAAGGGTTTTTCGACAAAAATTTATTCCTGATAAAAGTTTGTGCCTCCCCTAAAATCAAACATGCACCAACAAAATACAGTACAACACATGTAATATACGAGGAGCCTTCAAATATTTGATTTTGAGACAAGAGTAAAGTACTCTTATTTTAAATAATCTCGGGAAATGTTATTTGGAAAAGTTGTTCAGCATTGAAAAATACATCTAGATTTGAA